AACTTTTCACCCTGATACTGTGACTTCATTCCATACTCACTTGATGCTTTCTCTCTTAATTACCCAAGATGCTTTCTTAACACCATTTGAGCTTATTAATTTTCTCCAGAGCAGGCCTCAAGTGTATTGATTTTAATTAGCACTTGTTTCAACTTCATCCTTCTGCATATTTTGGCAAACTGTGGCACCTTGCAGTATTGGAACAGAGCAAGCTGCAAAATTCCTGGGGAGAGGCATATGTAGAATGTCATCCTGCAGAAATACTCTTCATGTCGTGTGTTCTCTTTCCAAAGAAATCTTGTTTTAGTCTAACAGATTTGCAGAAGATAAAGGGGGTTACAGGGATAGTGACGGTTACAGAATAGAAAATTAAAGCATATGTAATAAGCTGTTTTAAATTGTGAATGTGTTGTTTTCCAGAAGGTTTTTTTTTTTTTTTGGTGTGTGTGTCATGGAAACAGCCTAACATAACAAAAGAGTCTTGTTGCTCCTCCCACCTTTCCCATCCCTGCTTCTCTGTAGCCCACTCCCATTTTAATAACACAGAAGGGAGGCCCAGAAGTTTCTATTGCCATGAGACTAATGTCACACACAGTAGCAGCCGCAGAAAATTGCTAGGACATAGGCCTTCTTGTTTTTTAAAGTTTATAAACCTGTACAATTATAAAATTATTTTAATTAATTAATATATTTATTTGAAGGACAGAGAGAGACAAGAGTAGTATCATTACATTTTTCTTTTTTGAAAGATTTTTATTTATTAATTTAAGAGGTAGAGTTACAGTGAGAGGGAGAGACAGAGTGAAAGGTCTTCCTTCCATTGGTTCACTCCCCAAATGGCCTCAATGGCCAGAGCTGTGCTGATCTGAAACCAGGAGACAGGTTCTTCCTGGTCTCCCATATGGGTGCAGGGGCCCAAGCACTTGGGCCATCTTCTACTGCTTTCCCAGGCCACAGCAGAGAGCTGGATTGGAAGAGGAGCAGCTGGGACTAGAACCTGCGCCCATGTAGCAGGTGGAGGATTAACCTGCTACACCAGGGCACGGCCTCTCATTGCATTTTTCTTTGGGTTTCCTTGATAATGAATTTCATGGCTTGTCACGCAGCCTTCATTTACTTCAGTTTCTTCCTTTGTACAATTTTAATTCAAGACTCTTGCTCATTTTTTAAAGATGAATTGTTTATCTTTTTCTTTTATTCTTTCTTTTTTTATTTATTGTTTATTTGAGAGGCAGGAAGTTAAAATCTAGAGTGGACCCCAGTTTGAATCCAGGTGCTCCTATATGGGTTGTAGGTGTTCCAAACAGTTTCTTAATCCCCAGGCTAAAAGCCTACTCCTCATCCTACTTATTCCATGACACTGTAGCCTGTGGGCACATTAGAATTTCTTTTGTAAGGAAGAAATAAAAGAATTCAACTGGATTATAGTATAGAAAATTTTGACTCCTCTGTACCCTACATCTCCTCTCTATGTTTTATCCATAGCACTTAACACCTTTTAATATGATAAATATTGTGTTTATGAAAGACCTCCCCTTTCTGGAATCTAGACTCTGTGGGGAAAGGATTTTTTACTTTGTTCAATGCTGAATCTTCCAGGCCTGGAATAATAGTATCTGGCACCTGGTAGATGCTCAAGAAATATTTGTTGAACGAGTACATAGGAAAGAATTTTGTGCCACTGGCAGTGTATCTCCTGCCTTTCCTCCTTTGGGCATAGCCCACAGACAGGAGAACAAATTTCCCTTGTCTTTTCTCGACTTTTCTGTGGCTGTGACTTTCCAACAGATGAGAGAGGAAACCACCCTCCCAAGAACTACTCTTCATTTTGCAAGTCGGTTAATTCCTTTGGGTTTGGACAAGCTAATTACTCACTGAGAAATTCCCAAGGTAGAACACCAGAGGCAGAACTTCTCCTTATTCAGCATGTGGTTTATTGTCTCTTTGTAAGCAGTTACTTATTGTCACCTACTCCAAGAAGCAAAGGAATTTTCTGTTATTAACCAACATTTGCTCTCAAGTACCTTGACTGAGTGTCGTTTGTTTTTGTTTTTGTCTGTCAGATATATCAGTGGGAAAATAACTGCCAAAAATTTCCTCCCAGGCAAATGTTTGGCCTAGTGGTTCAGACACTGATCGGGACATCTAAATTACATGTGATAGGACCCGGGCTGAGTCCTGGATCCACTCCCCATTCCAGCGTCCTGCTACTGTGCATGCTAGGAGGCAGCACTGACGACTCAAGTAGTTAGTTGAGTCCCTGGCACCTACAGGGCAGACCTGGATTGAGTTCCTGGCTCCTGACTTCAGCCTAGCCCAGCCCCATCCATTGCAGGCATTTGGGGAGTGAATCAATGGATGAAAACTAACACACACACACACTCCCCCACCCCACTTGTCTCATAAATAAATAAGAATTTCCTCCCAAACCTCATGTTGAGCTCACATGTGTACAGACCACTGGTGTAACAGAGCCATTTTTCATTTGTTGAGGTTGGGTCTTCCAGAAGACAAAGTTTGAGTCTTCTCTGTATTCTATAATGGAATTAGAGTAAACATCAAAGGTGCACGTATGTGTGTGTGTGTGTGTGTGTCTGTTTGTGTATGAGAGAGAAAGAGTATATATAATTGTGTGTGTTTAATTGTTCATGTACTAAAAACTAGTATACAATCAGCCCTCCATATCCTCAGGTTATACATGCACAGATTCAATCAACTGCAGATCAAAAATATTAGTGGACGGGGGTAGGATTGCCTCTGTCCTGACCACATACAGATTTTTCTTCACATCATTATCCCCTAAATAATACACAATAATGTACATAGCATTTAAGTTATATCAGTTATTGTTAGTAATTTAGAGGTGATTCAAAGTATACAAGAATTATACTCTTGTAGGTTGTACCATTTTATTTATATAAGGCACTGGAGCATCCATGGATTTTGGTATGCACAGGTGGTCCTGGAATCAGTCACCCACAGATTCCATGAGATGGCTCTATAGTAATAGAATGAAATAGGTTATGAAGGATCTGGCAGTGTTATAAAATTTGCTGGGCCATGCTCTAAAAATTAAAAAATGAAATCAAAATAGTTAAAACGAAAACCTTTCAAAGGATATACATAGAGTTGTTAAGATGTTGAAATATGCTGCTTTTCTCCTGGATTTCTCAGGTTCATTGCCTTCCTAACTTGGATTGTGTGACCTATAGGAGAGCACTAGAAATCCCTAAGGCAGCAACCTCAGTTTCAGTGGTTTCCAATAATGGATGCTTCCTGTGCTCTTTGTAGAAGGTGGCTAAGGGCCAGTGCTGTGAGTTAAGCCGCTGCCTGCAGTGCCGGCATCCTAAATTGGTGCCAGTTCGAGTCCCAGCTGCTCCTCTTACAATCCAGCTCTCTGCTAAGGCCTGGGAAAGCAGTAGAAGATGGCCCAAGTGCTTGGGCCCCTGCACCCACATAGGAGACCCAGAAGAAGCTCCTGGCTTCAGATCGGCACAGTTCCAGCCGTTGCAGCCAACTGGGGAGTGAACCAGTGGATGGAAGACCTCTCTTTCTCTGCCTCTCCTTCTCTCTCTATGTAACTCTGACCTTCAAATACATAAATAAATCTTTAAAAAAAAAAAAAAGAAGAAGGTGCCTAAGATTTCATACTTTTCAGAGCTTATTCTGTTCCTGTGTCAGGGCCAATCCATGTTCTTGTCAGGCCATATTTGAATGAATACATCATCAAAGGTTGATTTGTATAGAGGAAGATGCTAGGCACATTGGTCTTGGTTCCCCTTCTTTCTCCCACCTTCCCCGCCCCGGTATGCATTTTGCACGGTAATTTCTATAAATCTCCCAATTATGGACATATTTACATGCTTATTTTTCCTTCTAGTGATTTGCTTTGTTATAGGGAGGATATTTTTATTAGAAAACACAGAGTAGTACTTCTGATTTTTCAGATGTTACAAAGGGATGTTATCTAGAAGCAATTTCAACCTTGCCACCTCAGCATTTACCTTCAACAGCTTTCAAGTAGCATTTCATTGACTTCTCAATTCCCTCTCCATTTACCACTTAATTCTTATAGGAGAGGTAAAAGCATGCTGTAGCGCATTTCCCTAATTTTGCTAGTTGCTATCAAATTTCTTTGCTTTTTGCTTGCCCTAAGAAATGGGTAAGATGGAAAAGTGTTGGTATATGATAAATCACCAACAGAAAAAAGTAAATGGTTTATGTGGCATAGAATATGTCAGTTTGAATCTATGGCCTTTCCCATCTCCTTCTAAAACTTGATGGTATGAAATACGAAGTAGCATTTGTCTGTATGGCTGAATCATTAAACATCTGTGTTCATAAAGTACTAATCTGGATTCTTCCAGCAGTGAGATCATTTTGTCCATGAATTTTGGGAAGGATTTAAATTGTAATTGTACCCTTTACAGTCCTATCATTTTATTCCAGTTAGGTATTTCTTCTACTCCAAAGCTCTTTGACTATTAAGTATTAAGACTTGTGTTTTATTACCCTTGCCATCCTGTCACTTTGGGGTCACACCTCATAAATGAAAGGAGGGAAATACTGAAGAATGGTGAGACTTGACAGCACCTTCAGAGATGCACAGTTGTGCAGAGTTGCTAATTCAGATTAGCAGAGTCTTGCTTTTATTCTTGTGGACAGGCAGTTAGGCTAGGGCCCCTTTGCTAAACAGATAAATATGATATATTTGTACTTTTATATGTAAAATAATATTTAATAAAGAGATCAACACATAAAAAGCAAAAAGACCATAGTTCAGCAGGAATATAGGCAAGGGCTATAAACAGTATTCAAATGAAAAGATGCCTATTTCATTTATATGCCATAAATTTTAAAATAGTCACAAATTATTAGAACCATAGTAGTAAATCACTCTTAATTATAACAATATATTTTTAGAGCCAGCATGGTTTTCTTGAGAGACAACTATATTTCTTATTATATGTAACATGGTTTTAATTTTCCTTTTCTAATAGGTGAAATGAGGAACGACTTGTATATCACCATAGAGAGGGGAGAATTTGAGAAAGGAGGGAAGAGTGTGGCCAGAAATGTGGAAGTTACCATGTTCATTATAGACAGTAGTGGCCAGAATTTAAAGGTATGTTAATAATGGGTGCTTTTTTGGTAAAACAATTGTATTTGCTTCATCTTTAATGCTCTCAATTTCTGTCTCACAGTGTTTTCTGTTTTATTTTTCTTCTCCAACTCTAGTTTTTTTTTTTTAATTCATTAAAATGCCTCTCAGAAAATTAAGTAGGAAGATAACAAATCTTTTACGTTTTGTTTAATTACTTGTATCAACAATTACCTTACAGCAGCTATTTTTTAAATGCGGTAATTTGCTATGCCATTTCATTTTTTCCCTTTCATCTACCATAGTATTATAGATGTACACTTTAACTCTGGCAAGCTTTTTAAACTATCATATTTTACCATATGTATTTTTTGGAGATGAACCCTCTTAAAATATATGTAAATCATATTCCATTTATTTTCTGTTTTATTATTTATTTATCTTTATTTGAAAGAGAGATCTTCCATCTACTGGTTCATTCCCACAAATACTTGTAACAGCCATGAGTGGGCCAAGCTGAAGCCAGGATCCCAGAACTCCATGTGGGTCTCCCATATGAGTGACAGGGACCCAAGTATCTGAGCTACCACCTGCTGCCTCCTATGGTGCACATTAGCAGGAAGCTGGAATAGGAAACAGAGCTGGGAGTCAAGTTTGCCTCTCTGATACAGGATGGGGGCCACCCAAGTAGCATCATAACCTCTGCACCAAACCCCTTCCCTGCTATTTATTATCATTTTGACCAAAATGAGCCTAAAGATAGGCTATTAGTAATTCACGTGATGATATCAGATTCCTTCATGGAAGAAGTTCTTACGAGCCCCTTCTTGAGGTACAGTTGCCCTTTCTAACATGAGAGTTGGTCCAGAGCCTAGTGCATCATGCACTGAGGCATGGAACAGGCTTTTGACTGTAGCACGTTGGGCACTTTGTCTCACAGTTAACTCAGTGGGGCACAGGTTGTCCCTCTCCCATGTGTCTCCAGAGTCCACGCCTGGTGCAGTAAGTCCCGAGAGACCAGCATCAGAATGAAACACAGAACCTGATGGAAGCCAAAAGAGAGAAGCAGAAGCCCAGGGAGGTAGTTTCATAGCAGGCGCTATGTGGGGAACAGACACAGCTGAATGATTGTTCCGCTGCTTTCAAATGCAACTTTGAATAAAGCTGTCTTTAACCTGCATGTTTCCTTTGCTAGGATTTTATCTCCTTTGGCTCTGGAGAGCCTCCAGCCAGCGAGTACCACTCATTTGTGCTTTATCATAACAACAGTCCCAGGTGGGCTGAACTGCTGAAACTTCCCATTCCTGTGGATAAATTCAGGGGCGCACACATCCGCTTTGAGTTTCGGCATTGTTCTAGTAAGTGTTGGTGGGTTGGCCCGTGGCTTGGTTGTATTCTGTAGTACTGGCATAGTCTGCTCACTGAGCAGTGCTGATGATGTAGGCTGATTTGTCGAGTGCTTACAACAAGTGAACCTGCGGGAGGACCAAGAAGAAGAAAGTGGGATCCTGAGAGGTAAGTGTGTTCTCTTCTTGAAAGGCAATGACCTCCATGAAACAGGGAGGAAGGAAGAGAACAAATACATATGGGGAACCTGCAGGGTCTCCTGAAATTGATGACTCATAGAAAGTAGCATTGGCTGATTCCCAGATGTCAGTAATCCCTTTGCTCTCAACTTTAGGTTACCAACTTGCTGTCAGTGGATGTGTGATTGAGGAAGGATGCCCACTGCCAGCGCCTGTGAGCCAGTCTAATCCAGCTCTGGCACATCCCCAATTTTAATTTTTTTTAACTTTTATTTAATGAATATAGATTTCCAAAGTACACCTTATGGATTACATTGGCTCTCCCCCCCCAATGACTTCCCTCCCACCCGCAACCCTCCCCTTTCCCGCTCTCTCTCCCCTTCCATTCATATCAAGATTCATTTTCAATTTTCTTTATATATAGAAGATCAGTTTAGGATACATTAAGTAAAGATTTCAACAGTTTGTACCCACATAGAAACACAAAGTGAAAAATACTGTTTGAGTACTCGTTATAGCATTAAATCTCAATGTACAGCACATTAAGGTCAGAGATCCTACATGAGGAGTAAGTGCACAGTGACTCCTGTTGTTGACTTTACAAATTGACACTCCTGTTTATGGCATCAGTAATCTCCCTATGCTCCAGTCATGAGTTTCCAAGGCTATGGAAGCCTTTTGAGTTCACCGACTCTTATTTTATTTGGACAAGGTCATAGTCAAAGTGGAAGTTCTCTCCTCCCTTCAGAGAAAGGTACCTCCTTCTTTGAAGACCTGTTCTTTCCACTGGGATCTCACTCACAGAGATCTTTCATTTAGGTTTTTTTTTGTTTTGTTTTGTTTTCTTTTCTTTTGCCAGAGTGTCTTGGCTTTCCATGCCTGAAATACTCTCATGGGCTTTTCAGCCGGATCCGAATGCCTTTAGGGCTGATTCTGAGGCCAGAGTGCTGTTTAGGACATCCGCCATTCTATGAGTCTGCTGTGTATCTTGCTTCCCGTGTTGGATCGCTCTCCCCTTTATTTATTCTATCGGTTAGTATTAGCAGGCACTAGACTTGTTTATGTGATCCCTTTGACTCTTAGTCCTTTCATTATGATCAATTGTGAACAGAAATTGATCACTTGGACTAGTGAGATGTCATTGGTACATGCCACTTTGATATCCCCAATTTTAATTAATATTTATTTTTATTTTGAAAAGGAGAGAAAGACAGGCAAACAGGAATTTCCAATCTGCTGACTTACTCCCTAAAGTGACCACAATAACCAGGGTTGGGCCAGAATGAACCAGGAAGCTGGGAACTCAATCCAGTTTGTCACGTGCATGGCAGGAGCCCAACTACTTGAGTTATCTCACCTGCTGCCTTCCAGGGTACGCATTAGCAGGCAGCTGGAATTGGAAGCAGAGCTGGAACTCCAACCCAGGAACTCCAACACGGGATGCACGTGTCCCAACTGGCATATTAGCTGTTATATCAAGTGACTGCCCTTATTTTTATGTGTTTTAAAGCCATGAGACTGGATGAGATTCCTAGGCAGTAAATTTACTAAACAGTAAAGGAAAGGCCAAAGATTTGGGTATCTAGGGTTACTCCCACATTTAAGCTGGGAGAATGAGAAAGAGCCACTAAGTGATATTAAGAAGGAATAGATAGTAGGTTAGAGAATCAAGGAAAAATTCAATTCAAGAGGTGAAATGACAGGTAAATAATATGAGGACAGAAAAAATATTCTGTCTGACATCATGGAAGTCATTGAGCCCAATATGTGGTTTTATGGTGACGAATGTGAGTTCAGGAGTAAGACCAAGAGAAGGAAGGGAAAGCAGTAAGCATAGCCAAAGTTTTTGAGAAGCTTTGCTGTAACAAATACAAGAGCAGTGGTAATGGATAGGAAGACTTTAAATAATTGAAATGTCAGTTCTTCTTAACTAGATCTATAAATTCAACACAATTCCAGTAAAAATCTCAGCAAAATATTTTGTGGATGTTGAAAAATCCTAGGACTGGTCCTGTGGTGCAGTAGGTTAAGCTGCTGCCTCTGGTTCCAGCATCCCATATGGGCACCATCTCAAGTTCCATCTGCTCCACTTCTGATCCAGCTCCTTGCTAATGTGCCTGGAAAAGCAGAAGATGACCCAAGTGTTTGGGCCCCTGCCACCCAAATGGGAGACCCAAAAGAAGCTTCTGGTTCCTGGCTTTGGCCTGACCCAGTCAGCCCGGGCCATTGGAACCATTTGGAGAGTGAACTGACAGATGGAAAATCTCTCTCTCTCTCTCTCTCTCTCTCTCTCTGTTTCTCCTCTCTGTAACTCTGACTTTCAAATAAATAAATAAATCTTTTTTAAAAAAATATTAATGTTTATGTGGAAAAACAAAAGCATAATATTAAAGGAGAAGAACAAAGTTGGAGGACTGACTGACATTACCTGACTTCAAGACTTACTTGTAGCTACAGTGGTCAAGGCAGTAGTTTATTGCAAAAGAATAGACAAAATCAGTGGGACAAAATAGAGAGCCCAGATAAAGACTCTCATAAAGTAAGATGATCTTTGACAAAAAAAAAAAAAAACTAAGGCAAAACAATAGAGAGAGATAATCTTTTCAACAAATGATGCTAAAGCAAATGGACATTCACTTGCAAAAAATTAAGATAGGTATATCCTTACATCCAAATTCACTTAAAATGGATCAGAGACCCAAATGCACAACACAAAACTCTTAAACATCCAGAATGTAACATAAGACAAAATGTAAATGACCTTGGGTTAATGAGTTTATAGATACAATAGCAAAGACATGATCTATGAAAGAATAACTTAATTTTATTAAAATCAAAAATTTTCAAGTCTTTGAAAGTCACTGTTAAGAAGGAAAAGATAAGCCACAGATTGGTAGAAAATATTGCAGAAAACATATTTGATAAAAGATTTTTATTCAAAATACACAGAGTTCCTAAAATTCAATAAGTTTCTCTGTCTCTCCCTCTCTGTCACTCAGCCTTTCAAATAAATATAATAAATCTTTGAAAAAAATGTGTTAATTTACTAATAAGAAAATGAACAACGCAACTAAAATATGAGGCAGTTGTTTGGTGCAGTGGTTCCCATACCGTTTGGGAGGTCAGCATCCCATAGTGGAGTGCCTAGCTCAAGGTCTCGCTCCTCCACTTCCAGTCCACCTGCATGCTGGAAGGCAGCAGGTAAAGATTCAAGTGCTTGAGTCCCTGCCTGGTTTGACTTCCTGGCTCTTGGCTTCAACCTGACCCAGCCCCAACTGTTGAAGGTATGTGAGGAGTAAACCAGCAGATGGAAAATCTCTATCTGTCTCTCTGCCTTTCAATTAAAGTTAAAAAATAAATTTAAAAAAATTTTAAGATTGATTTATTTGAGAGGTGGAATTACAGAGAGAGGAGAGACAAAGAAAGAGAGAGAGAGAGAGATCTTCCATCTACAGGCTTACTCCCCAAATAGGTGTAACAGCCAGGCTGGGCCAGGCTGAAGCCAGGAGCCTGGAACTTCATCTGGTTTTCCCATGTGGATGCGTGGGCCCAAGGTCTTGAGCCATCCTATACTGCTTTTCCAGACACATAGCAGGGAGCTGGATTGGAAGTAGAGCAGCTAGAACTTGAACCAGCAGCCATATGAGATGATGGTGTTACAGGCTGCAGCTTTAACCCACTGAGCTATATCTTAACAGATACCTTACTAAAGAAAATATACCAGAACAGTTGTGTAGTGTAATGGTTAGGACATCATTTGGAACACCTGCATCCCATATTAGAATTCCTGGATTCAAGTCCTGTCCCTATTCCTGATAATGCACACCCTGGGAGACAGCAGATGACGGCTGAAATACTTGGGTCACTACCATCCACGTGGGGGACCCAGATTCCTTGGTTTCAGTCTGGCCCAGCCATAGCTGTTGCAAGTATTTGTGGAGTGAATCTGCAGTTGGGGGATTTCACTCTCTCTCTGTCTTTCAAATAAATAAATACATTTTTAAAAAGAAGATGTACAAATGTCAGAAAAACAGGAAAAGATGCTCTACATCACATATTACATATCATCAGCAAACTGCTAATTAAAGGAACAGTGAGGTACCACCCACACCTATTAGAATGTCCAAAGCCAAGAGAACTGACAACACCAAATGCTGGTGAGAATACGGAACAACAGGAATTCTCAGGCATTGCCGGGGAAAATACAAAATGGCAAAGCCAGTTTAGAAGGCAGTGTGGTGGTCTCTTGCCAAACTAAATATACATTTACACAGTATAACAATCAGGCTCCTTGATATCACATCCACACAAAAACTGTGGTGCATCTTTTGGACTATTATTCAGTACTAAAATGAAATGAACCCTCAAGACATAAAAAGGCCTGGAAAAGTCTTCAATTCATATTACAGAGTAAAAGAAACCTGTGTGGAAAGGCAACAGACTGTGTGACTCCAACTCCGTGGTGATCTACAGAAGGCAAAGTTAGGGAGAATAGAAAATTCAGTGATTGCCAATGTTTGAGGAAGGGAGAGATGAGTAGGCAAGTAACAGGAGTTTAAGGGCAGTGAAACTACTCTGAATGAAACTATAGTGATGGATCCATTATACTTGTCCAAAACCATAGATACACAACACCAAGAATGAATCCTGATGTCACTGTGGACTCTGATACTGATATGTTAATGTAGGTTCAGCACTTAGAACAAATGTGCTACCCTGCTGGGGGATGTTGACAGTGGAGGAAGCTGTATATGTGTGGAGGCAGGGAAATCTCTGTACCTTCTTATCAATTTTGTGAACCTAAATCTGCTTTAAAAAATAGACTATTGTAAAAGGAGGTCTGTGAATGGGGACATGGGATAGAAACCTTGGGTTATGCGAGTTGTTTTAATATGGAGCTTTTAGGACGTGGTTATTTGGCAGAGATGATTCAGCAGGGATGGAAGGGTCGTTGTAGGAGAAAGCAGGGGCAGCGGTAGGAATAGGGTCCTGGAGGGTGAGTTATGGAACCCTAGCCTTCACCGGGATCTTGGATACTTGAGAGTAGTTCCAGGGGGGACAAGTACAGGTGGGTTGTGATCTTACCTTGTGGAGGGAAAGTGAGTTGACTAAGTAAATGCAAGAAGGTTTCCCTCACTAAGGACCTCTCTGTGGTTAGTGTGTATGAAATCAGTTTGGGACAGCATAACCTGCAAGTTACATTAGAAGTATAGAGGTGTGAGGGACTGAAAGAAGTGATTGGAATGATGGACCAAGAAAATGGGGGTAAGACAGGAGGGGGGAAGGAGGGAAGAGTCTGTGAATTGGAGGACCCAGGAAGCTGGCTTATTGGAGTCACGGTACTAGAAAATGAATTAGAAAGTTAAAAGTAGAATCCGTACACTTAGAAGTTTTTATTAGCAAAAGGGGGCCATACTGTGTGAAATGTGACCATCCATTCATTGGACTAGTCCTAAGCTAATGGTCATGTCCTTTAAAGTTTGTTTAGTGTTTATTTTTATTTTACAATTGAAGGGACATCTGAATAAACTATTGCTTGTTTTTATCTTTGCTAATTTTGTCCATTATGGAATTTTTATTCTTTTTTATCTTTCTGAATTGAATATCACAGACCACACCAAAAAAGATAGTCAACTAAACTTAGGGAATTGTACCTAAATAAGTTTCCACATCTGAATCCTAAGTTCCAGATCGTTCATGTGGGAACTCTTACCAGGGATGTTTGCTGTGGTTTTGGCTTAACTTTGAAAAAAAAAAAAAAAATCAGTGTTCTTCTAGTTTCTCTCGGGGGTGGAGATTAATGATTTTAAAAGAGAGTCCTTTGATGTAATCACATTTTGGAGGTTGTTCTCTTGCTTGGAGCTCATTCATGCCAGGCAAAAGTCACTATTCTCTGCGTGAGCCCCCACTTCTCTGTGGCTAAAGGACAGAAGCAATGATAAAGGGATGATTTCCGATCTTCAAGACTGCATATCTAACTATAGCTTGCATCCTACTGTATCCCAAAGGTGAACTTTTTTCAAGTGTGAGACTCCTTTTCCATACTTGTGTGGCTAAGAATAACTATCCAGCCCAGAATAGTCTAGCAACCCTGGAGAACCTCGCCTTGCACATCTGTGTACAAGGACAGTCAGGTTGAACAAAATTCTGTTAGTGCTTTCTCCATGCTTTGAGAAACGCAGCTTGGTGGGAAGGACCAGACGGTATTTCAGAGAGCTTGAGCAAGTTGCCTGACACCCATGATCTCAGCTTCCTCATTTATAAATGCTTGCTAGGACCCTTCTCAAGTCTAGTCAGTGTAATTTTTAATTCAGCATCTGAAAGCCTCATTTCCGCCTTCCAGAGTGCTATGACAGGAAGCCCTTATTAGACTATAGATTGCACTCATGCAGCCTGCCTGGCTTACACTCTAAAGGCAGCATCCACAGGGCACAGTCTCTCCCATGTGCAGACATAGAGACAGAAATTCTGTCCTGGACCAAAGTAAAGCTGAAAGATTCCCTTTCTATGGGTAGCAAATTGAATCTCATGTTTTCATTTAGCATGTATTTATTGAAACCTTACTGTGTTCCTGGCACTCTTTGAGATGATAAGTTAAAGCCAACAAGAATCCCACCTTCAGTGGTGCTTATGTTCAAGAGTAAGACGTGAGACAGGAGAAGAAAAAGGCAATCCATAGATTTTTTTTTATTTATTTATTTTTATTTTTTGACAGGCAGAGTGGACAGTGAGAGAGAGAGAGAGAGGGAAAGGTCTTCCTTTGCCGTTGGTTCACCCCCCAATGGCCACAGCAGCTGGCGCACTGCGGCCGGCGCACCGCACTGATCCGATGGCAGGAGCCAGGTACTTATCCTGGTCTCCCATGGGGTGCAGGGCCCAAGCACTTGGGCCATCCTCCACTGCACTCCCTGGCCACAGCAGAGAGCTGGCCTGGAAGAGGGGCAACCGGGACTAGAACCCGGTGTGCTGGCACCGCAAGGCGGAGGATTAGCCTAGTGAGCCGCAGCGCCGGCCAGATTTTTTTAAAAAACATAACTTTGGGGCCAGTGCCATGGCTCACTAGACTAATCCTCCACCTGTGGCACCGGAACCCCAGGTTCTAGTCCCGGTCCAGGCGCCGGATTCTGTGCTGGTTGCTCCTCTTCCAGTCCAGCTCTTTGCTGCGGCCCAGGAAGGCAGTGGAGGATGGCCCAAGTGCTTGGGCCCCTGCACCCGCATGGGAGACCAGGAGAAGCACCTGGCTCCTGCCATTGGCTCCTGGCTTTGGATCAGTGCAGCGCGCCAGCCATATCAGCCATTTGAGGGGGTGAACCAATGGAAGGAAGACCTTTCTCTCTGTCTTTCTCTCTCGCACTTTCTAACTCCGCCTGTCAAAAAAAAAAAAAAAAACACTTTGGATACTGAGTCCCAAGAAGAGAATTAGACAAGCCTTGCAAGCCTTTTAACTGGAAGATCAGGGAGCAGGAATCTAGGGTTTAAGGGTGACTTCCTTACATCCATGTCCTCTCACTGAAACTGCTCTCAGTTGTGCAGAGGGACCTGTGGTGGGAGTTGTGGTTCTTCACGCCCATGCTTGTTGGCAGTCTGTATTTCTGACAATAGGGGTCTAAACATGCACTTCAGGAACCAAGTGATTTCTTTCTTTCTTTCCACAGCCAAGGAGAAAGGAGAAAAGAAGTTGTTTGGTTTCTCTTTTGTCCCCCTGATGCAGGAAGATGGCAGGACTCTTCCAGACGGCACCCATGAGCTCATTGTGCACAAGGTACCGTCAGTCTAATGTTGGTGACGGGTGTGAAACCAGGGCATGGTATCAACCCATTTCATTGTTATCACTTTGGGAGACAAAAAGTGAAAAGAATGCTCTTTTGTAAGATTGCTGGGGGAAAATGTCTTTTCGAAAAGTATCATTTCTGTATTCTGTGACATTTCTAAAAAATTGCAAAGATAGTTTATTTTTTCATCTCAGTTTAGGGTAGGTATTTGGATGAGTCTGTATGTCAGTCTTCAAGTCCTTTCCACTACTGTGATAGGATTAAATAGACCTTACAAATAACTTTTTAAATGCTGCCAATACATGCATTCTTACCTAACTCTGTATATCCCCAGATTTCAAGTTAGCAAGATCAGTGTTTGTTTGCTTGTTTGTTTGTCTGCCACTCTAGCTAAGAAAGCAGGGAAGCATCTATATTTTTGTCATGATAACTTCAGAGGTTAGTCTTTTAAATCAAGAATTGCCATAAAAATATTTAGAACAAAGTGTGCTTTGGTAGGTAACAAAAAGAAAATTGACAAAGGAAGAACCCCACAGGAATTGTCTGAGAATACTAATAATAATGTAGTATAAAATAAAAATGTGTTTTCAAAGTACACCAGCATTTTCTCCAAAGTATTTCTCCCAGGGGATTCTCTGCTTCCACAACCATGCCAGGTTCCAGGCCCTTCTCTGCTATCACCTGTGCTAACTGGTCCTGCTGACCCGTGGTTTGTCCTGCTCTTGTCCAGGCTCCATTAGTGTGAATCATCTAAGGGGCGGATCCTACCAGGTCACTTCCCCATGTGAGAGCCATCTGAAAGTGCCTCTCTGCTGAGAAATAAATCCCAGGCTCCTCAGAAGTGCCCAGCTGCCACCTCACCACCTGCTGCCTCTTCCCGAATGCTGCAGCCACACCCAGCTCTTCTCCTTTCCACTCCCGAAGCTCCTCTGCTTGACGCTGCCCTTAGGACGCTCCCCTGCCCTTCCTCCGACTGTCTCTTGTCCATCCGCTGAGGCTCACCTTGGCCATAGCCCCCTTCAGGACCGCCACTCTGGTCCAGTCTCCCCATATTTCCAGCTAGCCAAGTGCCCTTCTTCGAACTCCCTGAGTATCTGCAAACTTCTCTTACCAGTGTACTCGTCACACTGTCCTAAAATTATCAGCTGATCCCTTCACTTAACCTGCTAGACACATGAACCCCTGGAGAGCAACAGCTGTGTCCGAGGGGTTCTGGGCCACGGTTGCTGTGCTGTGAAGATGTGTTGAATGAATCCAGGTGATCACAAACACAAACTGTCTTTACTTTTGGAAAATTATTAATAAAATGAGTGGTGAAGCACCACACAGCTAATTTCTGTGTGTGTGTGTGTGTGTATGTGTTTGTGTGTGTGTCTTCAGTCATCCATTTTCTAGTCACTTGTTAGTATGTTTTCTGATCACAAGCTACAGGCTCTTCGGTAGGTCCTGGGAATACAATGGAGAACAAATAGTCATATCCCTTTATTTCTGGCACTTACGTTCTCACTACTTCATGAAGTGGTCTAAGGGACTTACTATTTGCAAATGCAGAGAAAAATATTTTAAAGCAGAGTAACCAGCATAGCAACAGAAACCTAATGTACGAGTCCCCCGCCATGCCCTGTGTTTGTCCCTGTGAGGTCTAAGGCTCACCTGGAAGAGATATGTGCCAGGTAATATCTTCAGGTGCAGTTTTTCAAAAGGCACAAATGGTATTTCCTATAGATAGCTGTGTAACATTAAACCTTGGCTCAGAAAAGGCAGGGCTGAGATCATTAAAACTGGGCTTCTGACTTCCTAATAATGTATAGAGGAGTGAACCATAGTGTATAGCAGCCTCACGTAAGATTATCTTACAGTGGTCAGAGGGTGCTTCTTCGGCAAGTGCTGGGTTTCCAGTGAAATCCTGGCCAACTTCTAAATGAGTGTGAGCAATACCAAGGTTCTGTTTGCTCCCTGGATCCATAAGCCCAATGCCAGAGCACAGTAGCAGTGCTTGCTGCTCCAGGGAGCATTTAGCGGTCCAGCTGACGCTGAGTCTCACACAGAAGCCTGTCAAGCTGCCTACTGTCAGGGCCAAACCATTTCTCAAAAACAGAACTTGGAATCAACATAGGTCCTTGCACAGAATTCTCATCCATTTGCGCTTGAGGCACTTAAAGGACAGGTGTTCCCAGTGATTGTCCTCAACCACAGGAAGGATCAGGGTGGTGCATGTAGGTAGCCTGCTGGGGGCAGAACTACCTGTGTATAGCATTATCTCCCCAGGAAAACCCCAAGAGGCTAAGCTTTCTTATGAACCAGGATTTTTTAATTTGATTTTTTAAAAAGATTTTATTCATTTATTGAAAGTCAGAGTTAAGCAGAGAGAGAGAGAGAAAGTCTTCCATCAACTGGTTCACTCCGCAAATGGCTGCATCGGCTGGAGCCAAGCTGATCTGAAGCCAGAAGCCATGAGCCAGAAGCTTCTTCCAGGTCTCCCATGTGGGTGCAGGGGCCCAAGGACTTGGGCCATCTTGCACTGCTTTCCTAGGCCATAGCAGAGAGCTGGATAGGAAGTGTAGTAGCCAGGACTCAAACCGGTGCCCATATGGGATGCTGGCACTATAGGCAGCAGCCTTACCTGCTACCCTACAGCACTAGCCCCACGAACCAGGAGGGGTTTTTTTTTGTTTTTTTTTTTTTTTTTTTTTTTTTAGTAACTGTTACTTAAAGAGCTGCAAAGCCCTTGCCAAGTATAGCAACTTTTATCTTGGGTCTGGTCGATGCTGTGGTCTTCTTGCTTGTGCTGAGCCAATAAGTTCAGTTTCAGCTTAAGGCCACTTGCAGTTTGTGATTATAAAACCCATATTACCAGCATAATTCTTAGCCTTCCTCAGCCATGGCAGGAAGGCACACAGCCTGCTGGTAATTGCAACCTTGAATTTATTATTTTAGAAGAAAGAAAGAAAGATAGAAGTGGGGGGAGGCAAGAGAGGGGGATTTCACATCATTGGATTAACAAAATCTCATTTAATGTATCAGTGTTGAGATGACTGTGATGGGGATTGGGAAGCTTGGAGAAGCACTGGCTACCCTGCCTTCCTCCTTCCCAGCTTCCCTTAATTGATTACATGTTTAGAGTGGTTCCTAGTGGACATAAATTCAGAAATCTACAGAAGTCAGAGTACTCTTGCTCCAGAGGCATATCAGAGGTAACTTGATGAGTCATCAGTCAAGATGTTACCCTGCCGTGGCCCCTTCCCCACTTCAGAACACCAGTGATACCTCCAAGTGGTTGACAGCAAAGTCTGAAGCTACCCCTTCAGACTCGCCGGTTTGCCAGTTTCGGTATTTGATCATGCTGAATTCTGTCAGGAGTGTTGTGTTCCTTTAACTCTGCACGGATATTTTTGGCCACCTGTGTACCAGAAAGCAAGTAACAAAGTGATGCATGCAAGCAAATTCATTTTCCAAAAAGGCAAAGTCTTTGATGGAGAATAACGGGGGAATCCAAAAAGTTAAAAAAACAGAGACGGCTAGGAAGACAGCAGCTATGCATTCAAGCCCCTCACTCTAGTGGAGGGCTTTTAGTCACTCAGAGTATATTGTAAAATATCCTCAGGGCCAGTTAAAAAATAAAATGATACAGTCTGCTTGTGAGAAACTGGGGTGTTGTAAATTCATTATGGTCCAACAGCACCATGGCCAACATGGCCCAACACAACCAAGCTGCGGCTCTGCATGGTAGAAATCTGATTCCTGTCCTGGGATTTATTGGCTTCCTGCTCCAGTGTATGCATCTGAGCAGGGAAAGGGCCAGTGAGGATTCAGCCAGATAGAGTGTAGCTGTTTCTTGGTTGGAGAAGGATTAATCTAATGTGATGACCTTGACTGTAAAAATCTGTTGCAGGTTAATTTACTTCACCTGTGCTACCTAATGCTTTGCCCCTGGACTCTTTATGGCTCATATTTTTCCCCTCTAAGTTTTTAGTTTTCTAGATAGTGTCCTGGTTCCCAGCTCTGACAGTAGTAGTCCGGCACAGCTACCCTTTACTGGCCACTGTCTCTAAGGTGGACTTCTCAGATTTAGTTGGAAGCTATTACTCTCCACGTTTCCTGAACTATCCATGTATCTGGACAAGCCGGAAATATGTTTATATACCCCAGGCTTGTGTGTAGAGGAATTGATCAGTTAACCTTTGTGTCATTACACACTGTGAGAGAAATTTTAGAACACCTGCAAAATTTTTTAAAAGAATAAATAACCTGGTAAGTGTCTGGCATAAAAGTATATCGGGGGGGCATTGTGGTATAGCAGATAAAGCTGCCACTTGCAGTGCTGGCATCCCATGTGGGCACTGGTTCGTGTCCCAGCTGCTCCACTTCCAATCCAGCTCACTGTTAATGTGCCTGGGGAAAGCAGCAGAAGATGGCCCAAGTGCTGCATCCTCTACTGTCATTGTGAGAGACCTGGAAGAAGCTTCTGGCTCCTGTCTTCAGCCCGTCCCAGTGCTGGCCGTTACGATCATCTGGGGAGGCACCAGCAGATGGAAAATCTCTTCTGTCTCTCCCTTTCTCTCTGTAACTCGGCCTTTCAAATGAATAAGTAAATCATAAAAAAGTGTATCAGGAAGCTGAACGGGAAAAATATAAAGGCTAATATATCTTAATGGTTAAACTTGGCCCTAAAACCTGAGTATTTATGTGACCTCCAGAAAGTCCCTCCCATGCTGGCCAATTGGTACTGCTGCATCGTTGGTCTTCTCAGAGTGTTCTGACATAACTGAAACCTGGCTCCAATCTGCAGAGAGGATGTCTTACTCCAGAGAGCTTCTCTTCTAAAGCCCCATATCCAGTGTCTGGAACTCATCTGTCTACAAATGACCCAGTGCCGTTCAAAGATACAACATTCTCCAACCTTCTGTGAAGAGTCCCCCACCCTCCAAAGATTCATTCCATATAGCACTGAACTTTCTTTTTTTTTTAACTTTTATTTAACAAATATAAA